CCCTGGAAAGAATAAATTGGAATCAACTAGGAGCGGGGACCACACTACTATCATACAGAAAGGAAGGAAAGAAGAGAGTTACAGGGAAAGGGAAAATGCGAGCTAAAGAAGGAGGAAGGCCTAAAGAAAGTCCAAAGCAGTACAAAAAGGCATCCAGCAAACTAGCGCGTAGACAAAGAAACCGGGAAGGGAAAGTCTACACTAACCTCTCATTCTTCGGGGAGGGGATGAGGAACGGTGAGGGCGGCTGGGGCGGCCGGGAAGGCAACACAGGCGAGGCGCGGCGCACCTCAAACTCGAGCGAGTAGCGGGAATATCACCCGCTGCTCCGGCGGGAGATTGCTCCCCCGCCGCCCCCTGGGTCACCCCGAGTGACCTCGCAGCCCACGCCGTGAGGCGCTGCTGTCAGAGGGGTTTATCACCGCCGTATCCACCCCACACTGGCCGCCGAGGGGCCCGGCGGGCTGAGGCGCGCGAGGCGGCTTTTGCTCCCGCGGGGCGGCTCTACCCGTCTCAGCACGGCGTCCCGAGGTGTAGCCGTGTACCTGGCGGCAGGGCCATCACTCACGCGCCTACTCGCGGCACGAGGGAAGGTGTGACGCGACCGCGAGAGGCGAGATGGGTGATGGCGAGACAGTCGTTTGGCCCGTTTGAGGCTGAAAGGATGACCGCGGACGATGAGGGCGACGATACATCGCGCCTGCTTTGGACGCAAAGTCCAGACCTACAGGATGGAGGGGCGAGTAGTGAGACTCGGGACCATATCTTCGCGTCGAGAGACGAAAATCCGGATTCTTGGCCGCCGGCCGCCGCCGGCCGCCGAGCGGACACTAGGGAACTGCGCGACGACGACGACATTTCTGAGGTGGAGCGTTCACCACCGCCCTTCCAATGGAGTTTGCCGGTCGGGGGGGCGTCGGCAGCGCCGCCGTTCCGCGCGGATGTTGCAAACGGTGGCTCGGGGCACCTATTTCGGCAGCCCCGGGGCGGGAGCCGAGGAGGGGCAGCCGTTGCGGTGGCGCCATCGCAGCTCGGCGGCGCGTGGGGAGCCGAGCGGCTCCCAGCGATCCCGCGAGAGAAGGGCCCGCATCCGTCCCGGATGCCGCGCCCACGCTGCCCGACGCAAGCGCCAGATGGGAGAGGAGGTTGGCAGCCTTTCTGCGCTCGAGGTGCAAGAGAGAACTTGTCTCGGCCTTTGTATTTAGCGGGAGGAAGCCAGGTGGGGTTTAGCCCAATGTGGTAGCGCACGCCCTTACTCGGAGAGAGTGGGGGGGGAGGGGGGGTGGGGGAATAGGAGGAGCCGTCGAGCTCGGAGTAAGGTCCACAGTAGAGAGACAGGCATTTAAGGCGTAACTTCACCCTCGCTCACCTTGAGTATATCTAGGCGCCCTGGTGCAGTCGGTCTTCGGATCAGCGGCCAGCTTCCCATCTAGGGCAGGGAACCCCCAGCGACGCTAGTGTGGCCTACGGTAGCCTCAGCTTGTACGCGATCCCGGGGCAGGGGGGTGTGGACTCTAGAGCTCCAAGAAAGGATAGGGAGAGGAAGGCGAAGGGAGATTGGTGTCAGTGCCGGTTTTTCGCGTTAGCAATTTTTTTTGTGTGTTCTTTCCGGTCTTAGTTAGCCGCTTCGTGCACTCGACCACTCGAGGACAAAGCGGACTCCGTCTACTCGCCTACTCGCTAGCTCCTATGAGACACTAGTCTGCCGCGCCTTTGCATGGCATTTTGCGACCTCGTGACTCACTGAAGCGTCCAACCTAACGAACGCCTAGGCCGCCTCGGGGCGCGCGCCCTCCTGCTGCGGAGGGCTGCGGCTAGCGCGCGCCCGAGCGCAGCGGAGGGGGGGGAGCAGCTCTAGTACTCCTCCTCCTCGCCGTCGCCCTCGGCCGAGTCGGCGCCGACCTCCTCGTAGTCCTTCTCGAGGGCGGCCATGTCCTCGCGCGCCTCGGAGAACTCGCCCTCCTCCATGCCCTCGCCGACGTACCAGTGCACAAAGGCGCGCTTGGCGTACATGAGGTCGAACTTGTGGTCGATGCGCGAGTAGAGCTCGGCGATGCAGGTCGTGTTGGACATCATCGTGACGGCGCGCATCACCTTGGCGAGGTCGCCGCCCGGCACGGCCGTGGGCGGCTGGTAGTTGACTGCGCGGGGAGGGAGGGGAGGGGGGAGGCG